TATATCCATATTTAGATACTGTTTCATGAATTACAGAAGGTAATTTGGGTAAGAGGCAACACAAGGTGACAAGTTCCTGCCTCGGGTCCCGGGGTGTTACCCATTTGTCCATGCCCCGCCCCCAGTCATGTGAGCACACTAGGTCAGGTTTCCGGGATACAACGTGAGTGAGGCGAGGTCTCCATCTCACCCTACACGAACTTGCCGTGTTACTTGGGCAAATCCTTTTACCTCTACAGACCATGAAACGGGGGTGAAATCTTAGCTCTGACTCGGGATTGTTGTAGGGATTAAACGAGATAGAGCATGTGAAATCCTTAGAGGATCACCTGGCACAAAGTCAGCCTGCAATGCGTGTTAGCTGTTCTCTTTCGTACAATCAATAAAGGAATAAGGAATGTAGAAATCCACTTCACGTGCAGGTGTTGCGAACTAGGTGAACTAGGGTGTGTGGGGGGGATGAAGCGTGCCTGTCCTCACTCTGGTGAAAGTGAATTCTTCTTGGAAGAGGTGGCTCCTTAGTCAGGAGCTGAAGGACGGGCAGGCTGAGCGGTCAGGGTGCGTCTAGAGAAGAGCAAGTTCTTACACTGTCAGAGGCCCAGTAGCACAAGAGAGTGGTGGTGGTGATGGGGTGGGGGGACCAGTTCCTACAGAGTCTTGCTTTTCATACTCAGGAACCTGTACTTGGTCTTTACCCTACAGGTTGTGGGGAGTGCGGGGTGGCAAGGGAGTGACATATATAGAGTTGCACTTTTTAAAGATAATTAAGGAAGCAAGCTTTTGTCTGGTTGGGGCCCAAACCCCAAACTTCTGTCTGTGGCTGGGACCCTAGATGGGAGACAGTTGCTGCAAACCAAGGGAGAAGGCTCGCCGACCGGACTGCGTGGCACCCGGCCAGGTGGGAAGCAGTGGCACCTCTTGTGGGACTCATGCCCTCCTCAGCCACAAGAACGGCCTTGAAAATTTCTCAGGCAACAGGTTTGCAAGTGGCCAATTCTCGGGGTTTTTGTTTGTCTAAAAAAAAAAGTATTTTGAAATCCCTGTGCCTTCTGCTCATTTTTGCTGTGAACCCAGAACGGCTCTGAAAAAACAAAATCCATGTTTTAAAAGAGGATTTTGCTTTTATCGTTGAGGGATACTCTCACTGAGTATAAAATTCTGACCTTATAACAGTTGGTTTCTTTTCTTCCAGCACTCAAAAATCATCATTCTGTTCCTTCCGGTGTGCACCGTTTCAGCGAGAAGTCAGCTGCGTTGCCCTGAATGTGGGGAACTTCAGGGGCTGTAAGAATTCTTTTAATCACTTATTTTCAACAATATGATCATGCTTTGCCTTGATATGGTTCTCTTTGTATTTATCTTGCTTGGAGTTTATTGAGCTTCTAAGATATATGGGTTTATGTTTTTCATCAAGTTTCCCCCCCAAGATTGTCCATTATTTCTTCAAATACTTATCCTCTCCTCTCCTTCCGGCACACCAATTACAAGTCTGTTAGACTCCTTGACACTGTCCCCCTGGGGCCCTGAAGTTCTGTTCATTGTGCTCAGCCCCCTTTCTCTGCTTCAGTTTGGAGAATTTATACTGCGCTGGCTTCTGATAAACCAGCTGTTTCTTCCACAGTATCTAATCTAAAGCCCGTACAGTGGATTTTTTCCTTTCGGATACTGTGTTTTCATGTCTGGAATTTCCACTTGCTTCTTTTCTAGTTTCTATTCTCCATTCAGATTTTTAAATGTGTTCTCTCATTATATTTTTGTGTTTCTTTAAATGTTTGAGCAGTTAAATGCAGCTTCTGGGTCTATCTCTATTCACTGGTCTTTCTAATGACTATGGGTCATGTTTTCCTGCTTCTTCACACATCTGGCGGTGTCTGGTTTTGTGTGAAACATCATGGATGCAATGTCGTGTGTCTGGGTTTTATTGTCTCCCTTAGTAAATTGCTGAGTTTGTTCTGCTGGGCAGTTAATTTGCTCGCCAGGTGAACCTGATTCTTTTAAGACTTGTTTTACCGTTATGCTAGAATAGGCACAGAGTGCCTTTCCTCTAGAACTAGATCAAGCCTACTTTTATGGCATATGGTGGACTGAATGCTTGTGTACCCCTAAAATTCATCTGTTAAGGTCCTAACGCCCAATATGATTGTATTTGGGGGTGGGACCTTTGGGAAGTAATTAGGGTTAGGTGAGGTCCTGAGGATGGAGTCCTCATGGTGGGACACCAGAGAGCTTATTCTCTCTCTCTCTCTCTCCACCAGGTGAGGACACAGTGAGAAGGTGGTGTCTGCAGACCAGGAGGAGGGCCCTCCCCAGAACCAGACCATGCGGGGAGCCTGATCTTGGACTTCCAGCCTCCAGAACTGTGAGAGACAAATGTCAGCTCTTTAAGGCACCGTGTCTGTGGTATTTTGAGTAAGACATGACGTGGCCTTCTGAGTCCCTGCTGAATGCCCCACCTGGCCAATAAGCCTTCTCCCCATGGCAGTCAGAGCTCAGACGATTTCTGTGTTGTGGTTGCCCCGCTACGTTCTCCCCCCCCCAAGTGCATGTTCTTTCCCGGCAGCTTCTGCCGCCTGCCCTTGTCTTCAGGGGCAGCTAAGTCTTTGACTAAAACCCCAGAGAGACCACCACTCATATTTCTGGAGCGCCCTCTTCTCTGGGCCCCTACCCTGAAAATCCACTGCCTCTGTGGCTTCTAATTCCAGCGTCCGTCCCCACAGCCCGGCGAGCCTGCCTGCTCGGTGCGGTTGCCTCGCTGGGCTGTGGTCCAGACGGTAGCTCCAGGCAGAGCACAGGGTGACCGAGGGACTCCTGCACTGCCTCCTTCTCTCAGCCGGCCTCTGCCTGTTGCTCAGCATCTGGACATGTTCTATCACATAGTTCCAGTTTCTTATGCCGGGGAGGGAGAGTCTGGTACCAGTCTCTCCATCATAGTCAGAAGCAGAGGTCCACACGGGTGATATCTGAGGACGTTCCCATTGATGATTTCTGTTTTCTCTGTGAACTGATAGACAATATCACCCCCCAAAGTTTGCAGAATGATAGTGAGAGGGGGTGGAGAAGGATAGCTTCAGAGAAGGATTATAATGCCAGTGAGAGCCAGGATCCGTCTGAGACCCTGCATCGACAGTGGCCATAGTCAGAGGCGTGTGTGAGGCGGGCTCAGCTGTGGGGCTGGGCCTGGAGACAGCAAGCAGATGGGTGCACGCTGCGTACCAGGACAGCGGGAGGAGCAGATAGAGTGGGGACCGTGCGGACCAGGCTGGGAAAGAGGGAGGGTGGAAGGGACGGGCATGATGGTGCTCACAGAGGGAAAGAGAGGGATTGAGGCAGTGGAGGGCCTTAGGATTTGAAGAACAGGTGTGGTGGGAGTAACAGAGAAGATGTTAGATGCTTAGGACATCCTGAACAGAAAGGACATTAGCATGTCTTCTTTCTGAGTAGAGGATGAGTTCCAAGTGTGGTTGTGGGAGACACGTAGCAGACATGGAGTAGGGACGGATGTTTCTAGAGATGAGGACGAAATGAAAAGCCAAGTGGCTATGAATTTGGATGAACTGTTCACTGGAATGCAGAAGCCATCTGGGATGTTGCTAGGTTGTGGCGTGACAAGGGACACTGAACTCAGTGCTAAATCCTCAGTGAAATTGACAGGCTGAAGGTCAGGAGATGACAGGGGGGCAGGGGCATCGGAAGTCGTCCAGTACACAGCCTGCATCCCCGAGGAGCATGGTTTTGCATGCACGGGGAGACACTGGGGCACAAGGCCAGCATCCAGCCCCCCAGCCTGAGCCCCTGTGATGGGCACGCGGCCACCGAGCACAGTCTCGGAGGCTGTGTTGTGCACAGCTCCGCACTCAGGTAGGCGCCGCTGACATGGGAGATGTTGCATCTATTATCATGATTTGCCCACAGCTCCAAGTAACTTGTCTTGAAGCAAGTGAGCCTTTTTCTAACTCGTACAGAAGCACCGTGTGGACAGTTGGTGCCCTGGGTGGGGCCTGAGCACCTCTCCTGGGATGAGCACAAGGGAAGCGTGTCCGGGAAGGGAAGCGTGTCTGGGAAGGCACAGGCTTCTGCTGGTGCCGGGGGTGAGGGGGAGAGACCAGGGGCTCGGCATGGATGAAGGGGTTCTGCAGGACTCCTGGAAGGGCCAGGATGGGGGCAGTGGGAGGCAGTGGGTAGCAGGTCAGGGAGAGGAAGCAGAGTGGGGAGACAATGGTCACTCGGGACCCTTATGTCTTGCTGGTGACCAAAGATGGCTGGGACATGGGATGGGGAAAGTTGACTTTCCAAGATTTCAAGGAATGTGGTGGCTGCCCAGGGGGTCAGGGACCTGGACTGGAGGGGCTGGAGTGGGTCGGGCAGAAGCTTTCTGGACCCCGAGAACGCTGGGTTTTGGATTCTGTGCATCTCTGGGTCCCTGGCTGCTCAACCCGCGATTTACAGACGGGGCCCCTCCTGCAAGGCATCAGGCGGTGGGGGCTCACGGCCTCCTCTCTGCCCCAAATCTTCCCTCTTTGTCCCTTGGGGTGCCTCCCTGTCCCTCCTCTCCCCTCTCTCCCCATCCCATCCATGGACTCTGCCCCGGAGCATTGCACCCCTGCGCATGGGCATGCTTACGTCTTTAGGAAACACACAGGGCTCCCATGGAAGAAAAACAGAGGCATTTCGGGGGTTGCTGAAACAAGCTTGTGATTTTTACACACCAGCCTCATGCCCACGGGGAGCAGCCCCTCCCCAAGACGGAGCCAAGGAGACACAGAAGATTAGGGGCTGGCAGAGGCATCCACGACAACCTTGAGGTGGGGTCTTCTCTATGCCTCTGCCGGCTTGGTCGTTTTCCCCAGTAACCTTGGGTCTAATATTAAAAAAAAAAAAATCGTGTGATAACCACGTACTTTATCAGGAGACATACCAGGCTTATCCCTCCCTGGGTGTGACCCTGGAGCTGCCCAGTGCCAGACGTGCATGTGGCCGCTTTTCCACGTTGGCATCCTGGTGCGACCTGGCTCCTGGCCCCGGGACGGCACAGGAGCTCCTGCCGGAAGCCTTGCCTGTAGGCACGGCCACTCGGTCTCCTGCCCAGCGGCCTATCTCAGCTCCTTTTCCCAACAAAGGACCCAAGGGATTGGTGCCACAGGGGACAGAGAAAAGTTATTTGAGTTTGCTGAGCAAACAGAGAGGACATTATAAAACAGCTCATGGCAGTGGGCGGTGCGCATTCTGTAGGCGGCCCCAGCGTGTGGCGTGGACATGGGATCTCGAAGCGTCCAGCTCCTGGCCGTGCTCCTCGTCCTGGGGGACGAGTGGCTGTGTTCCCTGGTGGCGTCCCAGAAACCTTGTAAGTGACCACCCTTATGTCGCCCTGTGCAGCTCAGCGTCCTTGACTGGGCAACAGAGCATTCAGGCCCGCGAGCCGGGAGAAACCCCAAATGCAATGGGCGTATGCAAGTCCCTTGCCCTTGGTGGGTCTCTGTTCTTGTTTGTCTTCCTCAAAGCCACAGGGTGGTATGATGGGCTCACTGGAGAGCAGAAGTAGCTAAAAAGGCATCCTGAGCTCCGTGATGTGGGCTGATTGCATTTGTGCATCCTTTTCTGCCATTCGGGAGGAACACCCAGGGGTGTGTGAGACCTCCAGGAAAGGCCTCCTTCCGTGACCACAGGTGCTGGGGGGCCGGCTGGGGAGAGGGGCTGGGGCAGGTGGCCCCCAGGGCATCTGGAGCCCACCTTGGTCACCTTTCCTCTTTTTTTTTTTTTTTTTTTTAAACTAATAATTTCTGCAAAGCCCTGTTTGTTCCTCAAGACGTCGCATAGTTGAAATCTGGGAGAGATCAGACTTTGTGGTTTCCCTGTGTGGCCGCTGGACCCGGGGAAGGGTCCGAAAGTGTCCCCGAGAGCAGACGGGTCCCATGGGGGGACAGGTTGACCGAGGCTCTCTCCCCAGCCCCCTGCCAGTGCTCACGGATCGCAGTCCAGAACAGGAAGAACTGTGGCTTCCCGGGCGTCACCCCTGAGACGTGCTTCAGCATCGGATGCTGCTTTGACTCCACAGTCCCCAATGTCCCCTGGTGTTTCCACTCCCTTCCAAAGCAAGGTAACTGGCCGAGGAACTGGCCCTCTTCCCGTCCCCACCCCAGCCAGCCAGAAGGGAAGAGACAGCGACCTCTGGCCCGCTGTCCCCACCTGGAGCCCCAAGGGTCAGCCACTCGCCCCTCCCACAGATATCTGTGAGAAGCCATCACAGTTTCTTGTACGATTAGAAGGAAAAACAGCTCCCAGGCCTCTCTTAGCTGTAAAGCTGCGACTTCTGAAGGAGCTTTTAAGGGATATGAAGGCAGTTAATAGGACATTCTCCACATAACTGCTCACAGGCCTCAAATGGTAAGAGATTCAGTTAAGACTTCCAGGATGTTCTTCTGAGGATGAGGTTTACGGCAGCGCACACTCGCAAAATAGAAGGTAATTATTCGTGCCAAGGCATGCACAGAAGAAAGTTGTGTGTGCAGAGCATGCCGTGGGGGTGGAGCCCGGCACCCACGGCCCCCCGGCCACAGCCGTTGCAGGTTCCCTGGGCTCCGAAGGGGACAAGACACATGGCTGGCTTTTAGGCAGGGCCCTTTCTCTGGTGGAAGCATTGCTGGCTTTCAGGACTTCAGCAAAACGCTTCACCTGCTTAAAGGGTGCTCACCGCCCGTTCTCATCAGAGTACGGTGGTCACCCATTTCACAGATGGGAATATCAGGTCCAGAGAGGTGAACTGAGTTTCCCAAGGCCCCAGGATGTAGCATCCGTGCAGATCCATGGGTGGTCGGGCGCTGGCGCCAGCCCTTAGACGGTCCTTGGGGGGTCGTGGTCCAGCAGCCCCTCCTAACACAGGGAGGCTGAACCCAGCCGCATCCCCGTGGGAGGACGGACAGAGACATTGCCGGTTGCTGAGCTGCCCTCACGGAGTCTCCGTGTTGCTCCTGTCCAGAGTCGGAGCAGTGTGTCATGGAAGGGTCCGCCCGTAGGAACTGCGGGTACCCGGGCATCAGCCCTCAGGAGTGTGCGTCCCGCAAGTGCTGCTTTTCCGACACTATCGTCAACGTGCCCTGGTGTTTCTTCCCAATGTCTGTGGAAGGTAACGTCCTGCGGGACGGGGGCTGGGAGCAAGGCGGGCCCCAAGCCAGCCCCAGGCCTGGGGGCCCCCGAGCCCAGTGGGGACCATCTCCGGAAAAGGCGGCTCTGAGGGTGGCTTGTGCGACCCCGCGGAGAGCGGGTCGCCTCAGCCACGCCCCTGGATCCCCGCCCAGCTGGTGGCGCCGCCCAGCTGACTGTCCTGCAGCCACGGGTTGGCAGGGCCACTAAGTGCCACGTGCTGTGCTGGGAGCCGGGGCGGACGTGGGCCTTCTCCCGTGGGCCTTGCTCTTCCCTCGCCCGTGAGCACGAGGGACAAGTTCTGCCCATGGCGGCCTGCTCAGGGCCACCCTGGCAGGGTCTGGTTGTCCCCCCCGCCTTAGCTACAGTGCGTCTCCGACCCTGAGTTATCAACACCAAGGACGGGTCCGGCACGTCCCCCAAAATGGGCAGCGTGCCCTTGCCCATGCCGGACGCTTTCCTTTCCCCGTTTCAGAACATCAGGGTGAGCCAAAGAGCACAGCAGAGACTTAAGGGTCTCTCTGGACAATTGCCAGTTAGTGGGGGAGAATGGACCCCCGAGAAGTGTCCTCCTGCCCCCGCCCCGGGAGGGAGCTCCTTGGACAGGAAGTCTGGTCATGGGCCTGTTGACAGGAGCCCCCAAGGCCTGTCGCCGTGGGCTCCCTCGGCCCCCAGACACTGTCCCCACCCACTGGCATTTCACACTTCCAGATTGCCATTATTAAGAGGAGTCCTTTCCGAGAACCCACCAGGCTCTCTGGGTGTTTGGAAATGAAGAAGACTCACCATCGCATCTCATGTCTCCAGAGTTCCTGGCTTTCCTTAATCTGCTTTTTATCCTTTTCACTGGTTCAACATACGTTTCTTCAAATAAAGAAAACCCTTAAAGTCTGCTAAATTTCCTTTTGGCTTCATTGACACAGAAGTGGAGCGACAGAGGGAGTGTGCGTGTATACAGGTGTGAGGGTGTGAGTGTGTGTGGGGGGGGTGGGGACAACTCATCCAGCCGGTGCAAACCACCCCAGCAGCAAGAGGGAATTCACGATCCACGATCGCTCCCATTCCCAATCATTTGTATAGAAACTCAAATGACTTTAGCCCTGAAAACCTCTTGCAGTAACGTCTGATTTCAGATTGCAATTACAAAATTGCCTCGCCTTTACCAAATGGATCCCAGACTGTGGCTTTTGCAGGAGTGCGGGGCACCACCATCCGTCCTCGCAGGGGTGGGGCGGGGTAGGGTGGCTCCGAAGCTTCCCATCCTCCACCCCCGAGCAGCTGTGGCGACGTGCCGAAGTCTGGGTCCAAAGAGGAGGTTGACAACTGCCACCGAGGCCAAGCCAGCCTATGGGAGGGTTTTGGCACAAAACCTAGCGTGTGTCTCCGCGGAAGGGTCCTGGCATTCTTCGGTCGGGGGTGGGCATGCAGGGGGAGGACACGGGCAGATCTTTCTGTGGCTTGTCCTTCTTTCCCGATGCCACCTCCAGCCTGAGCCCGCTGCACAGCACTTCTGTCCCGACACCCCTTGATGGAGAGTTCGGGGTTCTGCCCCCAGCATGGGCGTCGTGGCCGTCCTGCACCCTGGGTTCAGTGCAAGCTCCTGGATTCATGCCCTCCTTGGGCATTTTCTGGTCCTTGGCCCCCATCCTCAGGTTGCGGGCCCCTCGGCATGCATCTCTGGGTGCGGGGACAGGGCGTGCTTCCTCAGAGTTCTCTCCTCATGCCCCCTCCCCAGTCCCGCTTCCCTGGGTGGGGGTCTCCCCAGTGCGCGCACCCTGGGTTCTGAGCTGATCTTGATAACTGAGGGCGGCTTCTGGAAGAACTGCACTGGCCGTCGCCACGGGCCCGGGGGACTTGGCAGATCTACTCCGTGTCAGGTACTCTGACTCTTGCAGGTTGCAGGTCACTCTGTGGCACCCCACCATGCTTGGGGTAGTGCTGCCCCCCACCTCCTCCTTGAGGTGGGCCACCCTAGGGTCCTCGTTGCCCCTGGAACAACAGCTGGTGACATTCAAACTCACCCCATCAGAAAAGCCAACCTTCCTCTTTCTCCTCCTGCGATGAGGTAATTCCCTGGTCCCCTCTGTGGTGTCTGCTCCCGTGGGACCCCACTGGTGGAGGAGCGGGGAGGCTGGTGCACAGGGTCTGAGTGGTCGCCCCCAACTGGAGCAGAGGCAGGGGAAGTCCAGTTCTGCCCCTCAATTCCACTGTCGCGGTCTCCCGGCTCCCGAGGGTCATGCAGTCCTTGCCTGGCCGGCTGAGGTAGACAGATGCTCTGAGAAGCCTTTTGGCCGAGGGAAAAATAGGACATGTCACAGTGCACCTGTGGGCTGATATCGCTGGTGTGTGACCTCGGGGAGGTTCTCCTATCTCTCAGATTTTCAGCCTTTCTGTTTGTACTAATTCCATCCCTAGCCGTGTTGCAGTGGGAACTGAAACGAATCTTCGTGAGCTGCCTGGTACACAGTGGGCTCCTTCCGGAGAGTCTGGACAGAGCTGACTCTGCTCTCTTGTCCTGACAGGACCAGGCGGGGACGTGTTGAAAAGCCCCTTCTGTGTGCAGAGCAGCATGGCTGCGTCCAGAATGTGGGTAGAGCCCAAGAACACATACCTACTCCTTATATTCACGACACATTCACCATATACTGAATACGCGACAGTGGGATTCTCTATTCAAGGTAGTTGTGTTCCATAAAGTCACTGACACTGAATTAGGAAACTCTGAGCCACTGAGACTGGGGGACACACAGGGTCAGGTTCCTGAGCGCCTCCTGACCAAGTTCATCAAGGATCAATACATGACCTTGCTTGGTATGTGTTTCTGCTTAAAGACCATTTATTTCATATACATTGTTGGTGCAGGAACACCGGACTCACAACAGCCAGCACTGTAAGCCCTGGCTGGACGTACACGTGTGCACAGCGCGTCACAGCCGCTCGCCCCAGGCCACCCGACAGCGCTTCCCCACCGTGCGTGGGAACCATCTAAACAGCAAAACCAACAAAAAGCACAAGAATGCATAAAGCGAGGTCCCAACAGACCATGAGAAGACATCTGTCTTCACTCTGAGAGTTGAAACAAGAAGGCAGAGCATCACCTTGTTGGACTCCAGCTGGCAAAGTTCATGCTACAAATAAATTTTAGCGAGTAGGTGGATTTGCAAATAGGGATCCGTGGATAATGAGGACGAGTTGTGTACTCATCATAGGTACTACGTGTTCCCTCCATGTGTTTTGGAGACGTGGTACATACACACATGTGCCCCTAGCTGTTGCTGGGGGGTCCAGGGGCCCAGCCCCTCTGTGGACACCCCTCCCTGCCCCCTTTGCCTAAAGAAAGAGAGGAAAAGACCGAAGCACAGTCTGAACCTCCGTGGGGCCCCTGGAATCAGAGTGCTGCCAAAGAGTGTATGTATTACATCTCCAAAATAGAGATACTGCACTTCTGTTCTAGATGATCTCTATATTGAGCTCACTTCCCAGCTGTGTGACCTGGAGAGCTATACTTAGACATTCTGTGCCTAATTTTACTCATGTGCGAAGTGGGGGTTAAAATCAACAGGATCATTTTTTAGAGGCTTGTTGGGAGGGTCTGATGAGTTAATTTATGAGACGTACCAACAACAGTGTCAGGCACATAGCAAGTGTTTAGTGAGCACGCAGCCAGGCCAGGCTCCCCCACCCGGGGAGACGGAAGTGTCCCCGCTGTCTCCTGGCACAGTTCTCAGACCCTCCACGATCCTACTTGCCGATGCAGGAAAGCCAGTCCCTGCCAAGTCCCCTCCCCAGGGCTCCTCCATGGCTCTGGCCATGCTGTGGTCCCAGTGGGCAGTGGTCCTGTCCTAGGTTGGCACGATGCCGCTGCCAGCTCCTCGGGAAAGGCCTGGCCAAAGGTGTTCCAGTGAAATGGGAATTTGTCAGCCCATTGTCCCCCGCTTTTCACAAACCCCTTGCCCAAGGCTTGTCTGCATCTGTGTGAACAGCTGTGGGGGATTTCCGGGGCATTCCTGGGAGTCGTCTGAGCTTCCCTGGACAGAGCAGTCTCCTTGGTCCACGGCACCCGAAAGAGCCTGATCTCTGCTCCAGCCCAGCCAGGCTCCCCTGGCCGCTCAGACGTGGAGGTGCCAATACCATGCTCCAGGCCTGGGTGACCACCTTTCCCCAAGGTCCCGAGGGTGGCAGACTCCATACGATCTCCTGTCCTCCGAAGAGAGCACGGAACTTTGTAAGTGCTCAACCTTCATTTAGCACAGTCAGAAATGTGGCTTTGAGGAAAGAAGGACCACCGTTCTGTTTGTCCTTGGGACAGGTGGCTAATGAACGCAAAGAGCTTCCAGCCAAGGATGCTCACATGTCAGTCCTCCAGTGCCCTCTGCTGAGCACCCTGGGAGCGGACTTCCCCAGCCTTCACCTATTGGGCACTGTGGGTCTCCCGGGGCAGCAAAGGTGTGCTGACTATACTTAGCCTCCCAATGTCAAGAGAGTCATCTCAATAACTACTGTAAATTGCTAAACTTATAAGTCAGATTGGGCCAGATTTAATTGATGTGGGTTTGCAAAGCAGAGGGAGGGAGAGAGGGAAGAAGGAAGGGGGAGGGGGCAGGGAGAGGGAGGGGGAGGACAGAGATCCAGTCTCTTCTTATATTGACACTAATCTTATTGAGTAAGGAAAGGGTTAAGGTCTAGGCAGGGAGAGGAGGGGGCCCCTGGCTGGGCTCTGAGACTATTCCTGGCAGGCAGAAGCTAAGCCAGAGTGAACAAGAGATAAGGAGGCAGACCACCTGGTCTCGATGGCCGCGAGTATTTTTCTTTGGCGGCTACAGTGTATCATAGAAAATGACTAAACCCCAAAGAATTAAGTCATGAAGTGGGTCATCAAGAGTCCATGCTCAAACCAAGACGGCACAAGAAACTCAAGGCCACAAGCTTCCCGGTCAGTTCTCCATAAAAGACTACCAGTAGAAGCCCTCCGTGGCAACGCATTCGGGACCCTTCTCACTCTAGAAAGCTTCTTCTTTTCTTTCCTTTCTGCTCTCACCTTCACATAATAAACTTCCACTTCACCCTTTTGTGTCCTCGAGATTCATTCTTCAAGTCCATGAGACAAGAACCCTGTGATCCTACCACACTACCAGATCAGGGTCCTAGAGTTAGGACCTCATTTAAGCTTAATCATATCTGTAAAGCACCCCCCCCCACCTCCTCACCCCCTGTCTCCAAATGCCATCAACCTGAAGGTCATGGTTTCAACATACGGACTTGGGGTGAGGAACAACTCAGTCACAGCATCATTAATCAGCTCAGTGTCTTTACACTAGTAACACTGAGAATGGCAACACTTATACGTTAAAGCGTTTTTTTTTAATTAGCTCTATTGAGGTATAATTCAATATAATAAAATTTGCCTGTTTTAAGTGAATTGGTTCGTTGAGTTTTGAAAAACGTACACAGTCATGGAGACGCTACCGCAAGGAAGATGCCGAATCCTCTCCGCCCTTTCAAGGTCAATACCCTCCTCCCACCTCCAGCCCCAAGAGACCAATGATCCACCTTCTTTCACTACAGTTTTGACTCTTCTGGAATCTCACACACATATTCCAGCAGCGTGTGCTCCTGGGCCTGTCTTCTTTCACTCGGACAGGACTTAAAGCCTGATGTGCACGTGTCCCTAAGATCTACCTTACTGATTACTTTGCTGGAGTCTCTATTTCCTTACTTAGTTTTCTGTTCACATGACTTGTCTTATGCCCAGCATGGTGTCCCCAACGTTCATCAGTTGTGTTTTTATCCATTTCTGCCTGCATGACCCATTCTTTCTGGTTTGTAAAGCAGAATACATTTGCCTAACCTTTTATGGGTACAAACATTTATAACTGTT